GTTGAACTGAAACATCATTTGGATGCGGATAGGAGTTTAAATCTATATTTACTGAAGTCTCCTGGAAGTCGGAGTGTCGACCCGTAACCGAAAGGTTCTACAGAGCATCCAAATTCAGATATCTCTGTATTGCAAATGACGAGTAGTACGAGTGTAAAGGCGTCAGTTAACTTAAAAACGTTTGCAGTTGAGAGTGAAGCCTTCAACTGTCGGCGGAATCGTTCTACTAACCTGCTACTTCGCGAGCGGTAGGCGGTCGTATGATTTCTAATAGTCTAGTAAGACAACGGAAAGGTCTAGATTCGGAATGGCATCTGAGGCTTGCAGGAAAAGTCGAAGCTTGCTACTGACCGTTCGACGAAGGCGTGAGCCACTGTTTCTGCAGTAGTTTCGTTGGTGGGCATTGATATTGGCCATCCTGTGAAGTGGTGTACACAAGTTAAGAAGCAAGATTGTGTACTTGAATCTGGTATGCGTACTACGCAATCAGGATCAATATGGTCGAAGGGAGTGTCAGAAATTTTGAAAGAGACTAATGGGCATTTATTATGACTGATCTCCTTAAGCTTCTGAAAGTTTACATAAGTGTGTGCTTCTTTCTCAAAGATCGAAATTCCAAGATTCGATTTAAACGCAGAACTAACGAACCGAAGTTTATTCAGTTACGCCAGACTACGGCCTTATGTATAGCGTACCAAGCGTTTTTTGAGTGACTCATATTAAAGTATGTCGAAACACAAACTCTGCGTTATCACTTAAGAAAGAGAACAAATTATGCAAAAAGTACAAAATACTTCAGACGATACTTCATGTGCTGTATAGTCAAGGGTTTCTCTAACACAAAGTAATGTGCTAAACAACAAAAGAGGTTAATAAACAAGAGTTCGATACCTGAGAATCAATAAAATAATTCCCAACAAGATGAGGTCAGATATCTATGTTCAAGGGTTCCAGGAACTTTTCCAAGCAATCGAACGTTAACAGCCAGGCGTTGAACCACACCGCAACCTTGAGTTTAGTCGAACGCGTCATTTAATGCTATGCGCCTACCAACGACTACAATGAAGACGTTAAATATCAATTCTACTATAGTTTGCAGCTGATCGTCTAAAAGTTCCAAATAAAAGACTTGACCATTCTAATGAGAGACCTCAGTGCCAAGGTTGGAACGGACAACACTGGATATGAAGACAACATGGGACGACACGGACTGGGAGAAAGAAACGAAAGTGGTGAGGGATTTTCAAACTTATGTGCCTTCAATAAACTGGTCATAGGCGGCACTATATTCCCACATAAACAAGTACACAAAGCGACATGGACTTCACCGGATCACACTAAGCAAAACCAAATTGACCATATCTGCATCAACAAAACGTTCAGGAGGACTATAGAGGACGTGAGAACCAAGAGAGGAGCTGATTTAGCACCAGATCATCAATTGCTGGTCGCCAAGATGAAATTGAAACTCAAGAAGCACTGGACAATGGGGCGGACAACATCACAAAAGTTCAATACGGCCTTTCTTCAGGATACTGACAAACTCAACAAATTCAGGATAGCCCTCAGCAATAATAACATATATTTCTGCACGGGCAGGTACACGCCATGTTTATAGGCATGGTCTACGAATTACAACATTTATTGTATGTTAAATAAATGTGGTCTATAGAAGTTCCGGGCCTTTGATGATCTACTCAATGGAGAGTAAACTACTATGGAGAGCAACTGAAAAGGGATGAAAGTGGCAACCACTTCAACATGTCATAAGGTTCTGTGCCAAAAGAAGCACCGTCACAAGTAGTGGATCACTGTTGATACACCGGATAAGACTTAAAAAAGGAGGAACAATAAGGCAGCAGTCAATACCAGCCAGATAAGAACAGAGAAAGCCAAGGCTAAAGCTGAATACACAGAAGTAAACAAACAAATGAAGAGGAGCATGAGAACCGATAAGTGTAAATATGTGGAAGATCTAGCAACGACATCGGAAAAGGCTGAAAGAGGAAGAAGCACGAGACGGTTGCATGATACAACAAAGAAGTTTGCTGGAAATTATCTCAAACCAGAACGACCAGTGAAAAGTAAGGAAGGCAAAGCAATCACCAACATTGAAGAACAACGAGACAAGTGGGTAGAACACTTCAAAAAACACTAGAATCGACTAATCTCACTGCACCTTCCCAACATCGATGTAGCACCCACGGACCTCCCAATCGAGGTTGGTCCACCAACAGTTGTACAGATCAGCATCGCCACCGGACAAATCAAGAGCTACAAAGCAGCAGGACCAGACAACATTTCAACAGAGGTACTGAAAGCAGTTGTAGCAGTAACTACAAGAATACACCACATTCTCTTCAATAAGATTTGGGATGAAGAACAAATACCAAAGAAATGCTATCTCAGCAAGTGTGATAACTACAGGGGCAAACCAGACCGCGTCATACCGTCAAATAGAAAATAAAAATTATACAGGGCCAAGCCAAAATGTGGCTGTGACCGTGAGAGACTGTAGTTAGTAAACTGAGTATAACTAAAGAATAGTAAATCGTACAATAACATCCTATAAGTCAAAATAAAGCGTATAATAAGAGAAATATAAATAAGCATAATTTAGTTACTGAATAGTTATGCAATAAGATTCTCTTCAGCAGAATTTGGGATGAAGAACAAGTACCAAAAGACTGGAAAGAAGGACTTCCGATCGAAATACCAAAGAAACCCGATCCCAGCAAGTGTGATAACTACACGGGCATCACTCTTCCTTCAATACCGGGAAAAGTCTTCAACAGGGTATTGTTAAACAGGATGAAGGACTGCGTAGACGCCCAACTTCGAGACCAACAGGCTGGATTCCGTAAGGATAGATCGTGTACAGACCAAATCGCAACTCTACGGATCATTGTAGAACAATCAATTGAATGAAATTCATCACTCTACATCAACTTCAATGACTATGAGAAAGCATTCGATAGCGTAGACAGAACAACACTATGGAAACTTCTTCGACACTACGGCGTGCCTCAGAAGATAGTCACTAACATACAGAATTCATATGATGGATTACACTGCAAAATCGTGCATGGAGGACAGTTGACAAAGTCGTTCGAAGTGAAGACCGGTGTTAGGCAAGGTTGCTTACTCTCACCCTTTCTCTTTCTCCTGGTGATCGACTGGATCATGAAGACGTCAACATCTGAAGGGAAGCACGGGATACAATGGACATCTAGGATGCAGTTGGACGATCTAGACTTCGCAGATGATCTGGCCCTTCTATCCCAAACGCAACAACAAATGCAGGAGAAGACGAACAGTGTGGCAGCAGCCTCAGCAGCAGTAGGTCTCAATATACACAAAGGGAAAAGCAGGATTCTCCGATACAACACAGCATGCACCAATCCAATCACAATTGACAGAGAAGATTTGGAAGATGTAAAAACCTTTACATATTTGGGCAGCATCATTGATGAACACAGTGGATCTGATGCAGATGTGAAGGCGCGGATCGGCAAAGCAAGAGCAGCATATTTACAACTGAGGAACATCTGGAACTCAAAGCAACTTTCAACCAACACCAAGGTCATGATTTTCAATACAAATGTCAAGACAGTTCTACTGTATGAGGCGGAAGCCTGGAGAACTACGAGAACCATCATCTAGAAGAAACAAGTGTTTATTAACAGTTGTCTACGCAAAATACTTGGAATCCGTTGGCCGGATACCATCAACAACAACCAACTGTGGGAGAAAAAACCCAGATCTCGGCAGAGGAAGAAGCGCTGGAAGTGGATAGGACACACAGTGAGGATAGCACTCAACTGCTTCACAAGGCAAACTCTCAGTTGAAATCATCAAGGCCAAAGAACACATTACGCCGAGAAATGGAGACAAGCATTAGAAAAATAAACAAGAATTGGATGGAACTAGAAGAGAAGGCCCAGGACAGAGTGGGTTGGAGAATGCTGGACGGCGACCTATGCTCCATTGGAGTAGCAGATGTAAGAGGCTTTTTTGACAGAATAAACCCCTGGGCTGAATGTTCTGATGATCTTCAGAATTGTATTAGAAGATGGAGCCAGTTCTTCCACGGTATTATGTTTTAATGAAACGCAAAATGCTTCTACCTGTTGGGGAGACTTAGATAAAAAGTGATGTCTAAAGACATTTGTCGAAAGTTCGTTGACTGATGACCTCCCACGTACTTAGCAACACTTCTGTTGCCGAGCAGTGTCACAATTCTAGTTTATGGGATAGATGGTAAAACCCTTGTCGATCGGTTGCGCCTCTTTGTTTAAGGATAGCCTTCCCTAAGATGTCGTAAGATTCTGAAAAATTACGTAAGCATAAGCTGTGACGTACCTTTTAAAATCGCGCAGCAGTGCCTTTGATACAGCAAGGAATCTCACAAGTGAGTGTCACACCGTTCTCGTGGAAATTAACTCCCGATATTATTAGGCCATAATGACATGAATCGAAAGATTGAGACTTAAGAGTCCTAATCCCAAATAGCTTGGGTGCGTGTCCTGACACGAGGAAAGTAAAATATAAATGGGCGAAAAAATCCGAGAACACAGAAATACCATCATGACATGTAAACAATGTTACAATAAGGGACATACTCGCAATTTATCTTTTGGTGTATCAGATCACGTAGGATTCACCACTAAAAATGTTTCAAGTATTCGGGAATTGGCAACGCCTTTTTGTGTAACACCTTTATAATGGAAAGACACCAGGCAAGTCAAATCGGAAGTCAGGGATAAATTAGTTTGAAGATGTATTTAGAAAGTCGTCGATTTATTGGGTGACATTCGATCTAAGCTGGCTAGTAGTTGCAAGGAATGCAAAGCAGGACGTACTCGTGATCTGGTGCAAATGCGTGATCGGACGCCTTCAGCTATGATGTGTCTAGTAAAACTAATAAGGTCAGTATCAAAGTCGAAGACTTATAAGGCTATTTATTTCGAAGATTTATTTGTCGCTACAAATGTTTCCAGAAAAATCCCAGAAAATATCACATGAACTATTTGAACCATTTGAACAATATCTCTCTATTATCAAGGACACTACCTACTGTCCAGACGCATACATCAAATAACAAACAGTTTGTTATTTCTGCCTAACGATGTTTGAGATATGAAAGACAGGACGGCAGATGTTATGTGCGCTTGAAACAAATAAGGCGTTTCAAATGAATTTTGAGTCAGAGTGAGTTGAAGCTTAGTTTTAGTTCTTTGAATCTTTTTCAACAGCCCACTGTCTCTTTTTAGTCAAGGGCTAGCCGCTTTATAAAGTACTCGAGTTTAGGACGAACGGATACTGCGTACAAAGTTTTATTTATTCATTTGAACACATAAATAGTGGTACGTACCACTATTTATGTGCCCCTTAAGGGGCACCGAATGCATATACGCCACACAATTAACTTTATTTTAGGATCAAAGTAGAGACTTTGTGTTGACTGACTGAATATACAAGATGTTGATCATATGATCCTGTTTGCTCAGTATATAACCAACTTCGTTTTAGTACAGAGGTTGTGACATTTTTTTCATTCGAGCAAGTTTTATTGGTATATTTTATTATGGACTGCATAAGTGTTTGTTGGTTTATGTTAGTAGTACACTAGGTAATACAGTAAGAAATTGTTTGTTAGGGTCATTGTTATTATCCCTAAAATATTCCCTTACAATTCAGTTCATTTTTAATGTGAACAGCTTTTAGGTTGAAGATCATTGTTTTCTGTTGAATCAGTCTTTCAAACCCCGCTCTATGAAGAATCTGATTTTTCTGACCATAACATACCAACTTGTGGTTGCTATTTGGCCAATAACAACGTTCACATATAATAATATCGACACTAGCATCAATAATAACTGCGGGAAAAACTTTCAATTCAAGCCAAACAGAATCATCTTAACCCAAAAGTCCATTTCAGCGGGTGCTAAATTTCTCAAAAAGTTAAAAGTATCATCGTTTAAAGAATGTTACTTTATGTGTTGCAATACAAATGAATGTAGCACGGCAATATTTGAATCTAAGGTAAATTTGATCTCTGCATTACATAAAAAATTCATCATAATAGGCTACACAGTCCTGTTTTATGTTTGATTGTCGACAGCCTGGACAATGCTTTTATTCTAGTCATTCCAATTATGATACAGTCGTCTTGGAAGAATCAAACGGTAATCAAAGTTTGAAAAACAAAGGTAATTAATGAAATGACAACGTATTCGATTAATTAGTTGGTCTAAATCAACATTGTGATTCAAATAACTTGTGTGATGAAGTTAAAACTATATGCTCTGATGGGATATGTATTTGTCAGTCTGGTTGGATTGCTAAGAAAGGTTCATGCGGTATGTATAGTCTCACATTTTATTAGTATTTCTGTTAAAATGTAATATTTTAGTTCAGTCAGTTTGTAAATCACCAGAACTTCAATTCCAGTGTGATGATTCTTCTACTTGTGTAGCTATCTATGATAAATGTAACGGAATAGTTGAATGCCCGGATGGATCAGATGAGTTGTTTTGCCCTTCAAGTATGTTGCATTTTTATATGTAACAAATTAGTTTTGGTTGTTTTAATCTGTCACGAGTCAGTCACTAAACTATTTCATACAATCATGGTCAATATATCTATTATACAGTAACGGCAATTAAAATAGAAGTTAAATCTCTCTAAGCTTAAAATGAATTGTTCTCTGAACTAGCGTTTTAATAGGTAAAAGTTCCAGCGTCAAGTTTCAGCAATATTTATAGCCCATATTTTAATTACCGTTTTCTTACGATTTAATCATTTGATATCATAGTTAATAAATATGCAAATGTCGCATAATGTCACTCCGAAAGTGGTCTGTATCAGTCTGGTGTCCACCACTTTATTAACACTGGCATCATCATTTATCTTGCTTGGTCAATATTGTTTAACTTTTACTGTCTGTGGCGTAGGTTCACATATCTAAATGCTTACCAAAGAGAAAGTACTAGACAATACCCTCTGTATGGTTCTTGAGGATTGTGAATTGTGTATATTGAGAGTAGATTCCCATAAGTTGAATGTATTCACTCGTAAGTATCTTCAAATCGTTACTTGGATACAGTAATATCACTAAGGAATGTAAGTGTTTTTGTTAGAGTATTCAGCAAAAGAAAAGTTGAAGAAGCTATGAACATTCATAGATTGAGACGTTATGTATGTTTGTTTACCATCTACGTCAAAGATAAAAATGAAACAAGTATATATTATAAAATGAACAATACTGGAAACTAAAATTAGGATCTATGGTTTGTAAGGAAGACATGATATCGAGGAATAAAAGATGGGATGCTATATGATTACTCCTGAATATGACCAAATACTATTATTCGATAAATATGGGTTTCACATAATCTGTTTTCTCTCTATGTACTTGGAATTTTCGGGCATTGATCTCCTACCAGGAGGTCAACTTATCGACTTAGAATACGCAGATGACATAGTCCTGTTTGGTAAAGACACTGATAAAATGCAGTCTTTTGATAGCACTGAGCAACAATGCCAGGATGTTTGGCATACGCTTCTCTCTATCCAAATGCAAGTTGTTGCTTAAAGACTGGCCTGTGTCAACATCAGAACTGACGATAGGGAGTGAAGTAGCCGAACGCATTGACAGCTTCACTTATCTTGGAAGTCTGATCAGCTCTAATGGGTTGGTGTGTGACGAAATCTCAGCACGGATACAGAAGGCTCGACTAGTTTTTGCCAACTTGCGTCATTTATGGCATAGGCGAGATATCCGTCTATCAAGCAAAGGACGAGTATACTGCGTAGCAGTTCGTTCTGTTTTACTTTATGGCTGCGAGATGTGGCCATTAAGAGTAGGGGATGCTCGTAAGTTACTAGTATTCGATCACAGATGTCTTAGAAATATTACTGGTGTCTGCTGGGATCGCCGGGTATGTAATGGTGAGGTTAGACGCAAGGTATTAGGTAATGATGGTAAGTCAGTCGATGAGGTTGTGAATCTTCATCGACTGAGATGGTTGGGCCACGTGTTACGTATGCCTGAACACCGATTACCACGACGTGCAATGTTAACCGGTGCTGGAGATGGTTGGAAGAAAGTTAGGGTTGGCCAAACCAAAACGTGGCATCAGTGCTTGAAGTCACTAACTTGTAGTCTGACCCATGTTGGTAGATGCAGACTACTTGGTTGGGGTCCGCGTGACTATTGTAACCAATGATCGGAGACTCTGGATAGCATGGCTCAGAATCGATCATAATGGCATAGAGGTGTGTACACTTTTTGTCTTCCCTTAAACTATGGGATTAAAATTATTTCATATCTTTCTTTCTACGAACGAATTCTTTCTTTGTGTACTTTATCCCTACATAAAATCTTCCCTTTATATATTACACCATTGAGTTAACTACTTTTATGAATCCGGTGTTCGTCTTGCTGTGCTAATGAGGTGTGGCAACTTGGACCGATGCATTTATGTGCCCGGTCCTACGTGGTAACTGACTGGATTGTCAAAAGTTAAAGCACATATCATGTTAAAGGGAGCCAACCACCTTATTTGAACCATTTTGTCATTAACAACTGAGCGCAAATATGTGGTGCAAATTCGTTAGGAATCGATTTTCATAACTTAGGTATACCTCTACGTCAAATTATTTACAGGTTAGTGACATTAATTGTAACTGGTATACCATCACTTGATGGTATTTTGATTGGGTTCTAGAAATAACTGTTAGCCCTGCAGAATTCGAAAATTTAAAAACCGAATACTCACTCGGTGTAAATGCTACTTTCGCTGATTATCTTTTTTTATGTTGAAGTATTCAAATTTTTTCGAACATGTGAATAGTCGAGATTACTGCATACAATTACAAATCTCGCTAAACTAAGTTCAACAACTATGACTATTTCACACATATAGTTCCCTTTATCTTTAAAGAACAAGAACGAAGATTGATGCAAAATAATATGAATTCATATTATTTCGTTAGGTTCTCATTAGCTTCTTACGACCTAAAATATTTTAAAATCAACGTTATTACAGATATTGACATACTTATGAGAGTGATTAAAGATGGATATGTATATCATGATGTAGCGAAGATTTCAATAGAGTTAATAAGGTTATAAAAAATTTGTTTCGGATAAATCAATTTTGTGAGGGAAAGTTCCAGAACATTAAAATAGTAATTAGAACTCATGAAGTTAACAAACATTAGATGATTATGTGAAGAAACAAAATCTTTATGGCACTAACTCTATTGAAATCTTCTCTACATCATGATATACATATTCATCTTTAATCACTTTCATACGCATAACTATGTCAATATCTGTAATAACGTTGATTTTAAAATATTTTATGTTGTAAGCAGCCAGTGAGAACCTAACGAACTAAAATGAATTCATGCTATTCTGCATCAATCTTCTTTCTTGCTTTCTTTAACTATGGCTATATATTTAATACGATGCCAAAACAATTTTTCAGTGCTGAAATAAAGAATCTGTATTGAGTAATTTTTGTCTGGCTATGTTCACTACCACAAATAGTTTGTAAAATGTACTTAGACATATTTCTGAATAGTATGGCCTAAATCTCGGTTCTCTACGTAGCATTTTTTAAGAGGTGGATCATAAAATTTCCATTTGTAATTTTTCTGTACACAGGAGTAATTCACAAGCAAAATGAAACCAATCCGTCATTACCGCGTAATCAAAAACAAGGTGAATTTGACGAGGGAATTTTGTCTAAACCTTCAAATGTAAGTTATCAGCCCTTGGAAAGATATCATTCCAGTCAACCATCTTTATTAACTACATCTCGAAGTACTTCTCCAGCGTTGATGGATTTACACGATCTATCTGATCCATTATTTTATTCTAGTCAACCAAATTATCATAATGGTAGGGAACAACTGACAAAATCACATCCAATTAAATCTGCTAACCAAAAACCATTATTCAATGCTGATGATAAAGAATCGTTCATGCTTGATGTAAATAATAAAATTAATGAAAATAATGATAACAATCCTGAGATGTTTTTTACTTCAAGTGATGATGATGGATGGCATTATCCTAAGGGACTACTTCATGATGTTTCATCACAGGGTGGTGGTGATGTCCTTTCACAATCGTTGCCTAGAAAGCATCTATATCGACCAGATCATCATCATTCGGTACTATCACGAATGAAAGCATATGAAACAGCAGGACTATACAGGCCAAGATCATTCAATACTTTTAAAGTTGATTATCCTCAGTCATCACAGAGAAATGATTTATCGTTCATTCCTTATCATCATTCCAATAATTTTATGCGTGGGTCACATCAAGATGAACCACCATTTTTTCAATATAATCTGGATAGTAAACACCAATCTGAGATGATAATTGATCCAACTGTACTGGAAATATGGACTTTATCAATAAGTTTAGTGAAACAGGCGATACTTTAAAAAAGTATCCGTTGGTTCATGGTATGTTGTGTGTGTATGTATATTTTAATTTCAACTTGTATGCTATTCTGTACAAGGTTTCTTATTACAACTCAATTAATTGAAGTAGGCGACTGGTATACTTAGCTTAACAATATCAATATTCATCAATCATGAATGTTATTTTTATGCTATCGGTTGCAGCAAGTTTCCATTTTTTTAAAATATTGTAGGATTTATGTTTCTTATAGGTATCTTATTTCGTAATAATGTCAAGTCAGTGTAAATGTAGCTACAGTCGAACAAATTAAACGGCGGCCTGCTTAGATATCTGGGCTACCTGTTTCTGCCATTTGATTATTTCAACAAGTTATCTGTTTTTTCGTTTGTTTTAACTTATAATTATGTCCATTAATCGCATAACCTATTCAGGCGCTTTTATGAAAAGCCTACGACCTTTCGCTGCACAAGTTACAAAAAAGTACTATAAAAGACATCGTGGTGGTTGGCAATATGCGTTAAAGAGAATGAACATTAATCGTATGTCGATTCCCGAGCTGCTAAATTCTAACTGCCGATCACTAATCAACAAAGTGGACTATCTGCAATTCCTACTAGTCAAAATATGTATCGTAATTGTGGTGTCATCACAATTCAAGAATCTTGGTTGAATGATTTACAGGATGACTGCCTTGTATCACTACGTGATTTCAAAATTTATCGTCAGGATCGATCGAACAATAAAAAGAGGTGTGGTGGCGGTGTAGCTACGTTTGTAAACATAAACTGGTGTCGATCTTCGTTTGTGTGTTTTAAGTTTTCAAATGACTTTATCGACTGTCTAACTCTAAGATGTCGTCCAAAACATCTGAATAAATACAAATATGTTTATGTTACCAATATCTACGTGACTCCAGATTGCACATCATCTGCACTATCTGTTTTCGCTGATGAATTCACTGAGTTCGCTGTTACTGCCTTCAGTGATTCACTTTCAGTTGTATGTGGTGATTTCAATTCATGTGACTGTAGCTTCCTTACGTCACTAGGTCACCAAAACGTAGTAGATTTTCCTACTCGTTTGGATGCTCATTTAGACTTCGTTTCATTAATGATGTGGGTATATATGCGACTCGTAAACGTGCTCCATTGTCTAGCTCAGATCACTGTATAATTCGTGTTCTACCTAAAGTATATGGAAAGCATGGGAAGAGTACACTCTTACATCAAACCAAGAAAGTCAAATATAGGAATTACTCAGAAGAAAATATCCGAAATCTGAAAAACATGTTTCATACGACTAACTGGGAATTATTTACAGATGACTCACTCGAAAACACTACTGATGTTATCACTTGTTACCTTAAATTCTGTTTTGATATTTGTTGTCCCACTGAAACCATTTTTGTAAGTTTTGATCGACTTACATCTTCACAACTAAAACGACTACGGAGGATGAAAGAAAGAATGTACAAGGAGAAGAACTCTAATGAAGTTCGTAAGCTAAATGGTCTGATAAACCTAGAGATTAGACGTCTCAACTGTATGTTTACTCAAAAACTCTTATCTTGCAAAAACTCTCCAAGTATGTGGAAATTCTTTAAAGAACTTACAGGTGACAGACAGTTTAGAAGCGATAACCAGCTGAATGTTTGTGACTTAAATAAGTCTTTTGTACGTCAGTCATCTGATGTGATGCTCCCTCTATCCACGGGTTTAAAAATAGCTGTGTTCCTACTTTCACTGAAACTGATGTACGAGGATGTCTCCAGTCGCTTAATTCATCTCGATGTTTGGGACCTGATGGTATCCCAAACATCCTTTTTAAAAAATGTGCTGACGTTCTGTGTCATCCGTTCACAACTATATTTAACAGATCCTTCTCATCTAATCTCATACCGAAAATGTGGAGAAAGATGAAGATAATTCCTGTACCCAAGAAAGCATCTGGTGATAAGAATGTAAAATTTAGACCTATTGCAATAACTTCACCCTTCCTCAAAACCATGGAAAAATTATTAATACTTCCACTTCAGCCTGCGATAAAAGAGCATACTGATCCATACCAGTTTGCATACAGGCGCAAAAGAAGCACTTTAGATGCTGTTGCAGTTCTGCATCACAACATAGTGTTCAACTTAGAAAAGGGTAAGAAGTATGTTCGATGTGCTTTTCTGGACTATACTTCAGCTTTTGACTCTATACCAAGACAACGTTTACTTAACAAGTTAATCAGCGTCAACACTGACAGCTGGATAACCAACTGGCTATGTTCCTACCTCTCTGGAAGGGAACAGTACACTGTGTTTGGAGGAAAGTGTTCAGAGTCTCTACTGTCTCATGAAGGTGTACCACAAGGAGCTGTTCTTTCACCTCTTCTTTTCTCTTTTTTCTGCATGATCTGCCATCTTCCACAGAAAACACTTTTGTGAAGTATGCGGATGATCTCACTGTATGTATGCCTATCTCTTCCTCTTTACATCCCATAGAAATGAATGAGTTTTTGTCTCGTATTGATTGTTGGTCTGTTGGTAATGGTCTCATACTTAATCCGTCTAAATGTCAAGCTGTTAACTTTAGTATGAGACATGAACGGAATCTAAACACCATTTTGAGATCCCATAATGCTTGTACCATCGGAGACTCTTTGATAAACTCAGTGTCGAAGGTCAATTATCTTGGTGTCACCTTTTCCTCTGATCTGTCTTGGTCTTCCCACGTTTTATTGTTATCAAAGAAGGTTTTCCGTCTGACCTACTACATAAAGAGATTGCATGCTCTTGGAATTACTCGTCATTTACTCTTACAATTTGTCAATTCTTGCATATTACCTATTATTCTTTACTGTTCTCCATTATTCTTTCCCGGGCTTTTGAGAAAAGACTTTGCTGTATTGCGGAGAGTGCTGAAGGCAGTTAGCAAGGTGTGTGGTGAATCTTTCGAGGTCATAATTAATATGGTTGTGGATAGACATTTAAAATCATGCAAACTCCTGGCAGGTGTTATTTTATCAGATACTAGCCATCCCCTTCACTCTTATCTTTCTCCTTGTATATCTTCTGGTAGAACGAGACGTAATTACATTAAAATCCATGCACGCAAGCAAAAGTATAAAAGTTCTATAATACCTTACCTAGCAAATATACTCTGTGACGAACAGGTTGTTAGAGTCAACCTAGTCAATAACTCACATTCTCAACACGTCCTTAATTCTAAAAGTTGTACAGTTTTTCGGGTTTCTTTCTTTTTTTAAAAAAAATATTTCTCTTTTTTTGTATTCGTTGCTGTTTTTTTGTTGTTGTTGCGTAAGTAACTTGTTGAAATAACCTGTGCTGAGAATTCTATATTGTACCAAAACTATAATATTGAATAAAGCCATTAATAATAATAATAATAATAATAATAATAATAATAATAATAATAATAATAATAATAATTACTCTTAAATACCTTGTGTTTCTAAAATGTAAATCAATATAATCTGTTCAAGAATCTGAAGTAAATATAGTTGGACAGAAATGAATGAAAGTGAAGCATATAAATAGATCAAACAGTAATGAAAAATGCGACAATCATAATCGTATAGATGATATTGTCTTAGTATTCAATGGTATTCGAGCTTTACAAACCGCACTAGTCCTTATCATTGTTAAAATCAAGTTCAAAGCTATCAAACTCTGTAGAAAATGTGTGTTGCCTTACCGAAAAATTTGTTGAATAGAGTTTAGAACTTCATAGCCCGTTAATAGTATTTTTTTTATTGTTTAGCCATGAATGTTGATTCTACTTACCATTATAAAAAATGACATTCTACGCTTTAAATTTAAATGTCTTATACAACCAGATCCCTTGATAAATCTAAAAAAAAGGAAGAACAACAAGGTTTGTAGAATAAAATGAATTGATCATTCTATTTCATGGTTTCGCATCATCTACATACAACCTAAAATTACGATTATTAATATAAATATAATTATTAACAAATGTTTAGCATACTTTAGTTTGTGAAGTGTAGATAAATGTTCGAAATGTAATCAAAATCATACTAATCAGAAGAATAGGGTTACAAAATATATGATGAATAAACATAGTTAATATCGATCTGTATCTATATAAGCGTGATAAGTATCAGCTTAATTTGCTAGATAACTAAGAAACATTGTGATAAATCGGATTGTATTGGATGCTAAAACTCAACTTGGGCTCATGAAAATTTTGGTAGGCAATTTAATTTTGTGATAAATAATAAACTTAGTATGATTACTAGTTGTTATTTTCATGGATTTCAATATTTGTATAGGATTTTGTTATATTATAACAGATGAGATCAGTCTCTTCATCGAAAACTAGGGTATTGTGAGTCAACGTTGGCTATCTATGGAGTCGTTGTGATAATAGTTTTACTGGATAGAGTCAGATGTACAACACTACTATGTGGTCAGCTACGTTCTACGAGAACCTTGAGCGGAAGCTGTTCAACGAATGTGTTTTATCATCTGTTTCTTATCCAAGGTATTAGTCCTATTTCATGTCAACGTTGTGTTTAGGATAATGTAAGATATTCTTTAATTATTGAGGATCATCCAAAAATATCATCGTCGTTATCTTGAACATTTTTTATTCATTATATTTCAGCAACTCTCATACTGTCCACTAATTTGCTAATAATGATTATTTAAATTTTTCTACTTGGACATTTATAGAGCCTAAACACATTCATCATAGGAATGAATTTGAAGACATTAATCAAAAGACATCTAGTATAGATAAAAGTGAGTTCATTTATACATTACTAATTTCTATATTTATTATGTTCAGTTCATTAATTTCATACGTAGTCTCAAAGTATAAATAATCTAATCTTGTTAACGTCTAAATGTAGCTGGGCGAGTGTAGATAATATTATATGCATTTATTCTTATGTCATCCCATAGTCAAACAGTAGCCGAACAATTATAAACGAGGGATTGAAGGAAGTTGATTATGCATCTACTCAAGACAGCCTACATACTCTTGTCTAGATTAGAAGGACAATTGTATGTATGCACCTATAGTTTATGGTTCATTTCGATAATTAAACTTTCCTACTTATTTTATTCTCATTTGTATAATACGTTTGGAAGTGTATGTCGTAACTAAGTACTACCACAGAACACAAAATTCGACATGCTATGAATACATATCAATTCCATTAACTATTCATCTATTATAATCATCTTTTGCTGGCTAATTACTCATCAGTGCACTATGTGTATAGAGTGGGTTGGTGAATTTGTGGTTATAGCAATCGTCTCTCAAACATTGAGTTACATGTTTGAATTTCTCTCGACTTCAAACAACCGGATCCCATCACCAACTTTCAAGCACCCACAGTTTGGCTCAAACTAAGATGAATAAACGTGCATTTGACCATAGTGAGTTAGCTGAACTGTGTGTTGAAGCAGATATGGATGGTGGCTAGCAGTGGAATTCGCACATGGTTCATATATAATAAAAGAGACTGGTCAATTGCAGTCAAAATAATAATAATAATAATAATAATATATGTATCAAAAGGGGTTTTTGTGGACATTATAGTTATTTCAATAGTTGAGATCACCAGTCAATTGAAGTGGGATCGTGGATGTGCACTGCTGAGGAGTCCCACAATAAGACGATACGGTCGTCCAGTGCTTCCAGGTTTTCCATGGTGTTCTAACTTCGATTGAATTATGATCTCAACCATTGAAAATCAATATATATGTATTAAAGTATTCAACCTTTGTTATAATCTCTTTTTTACGGTTATGACCCAGCTATTCCTATTGCTTAGTATTCTCGGACACCGATTCACTCGACAAGTCCCCAAATCAGAACACGGTTGAACAGGAAAGAGATTATATTCCAAATAACAAGGTTAGATGGAAGTAAAAAGCAAGTCAGAAGCACAATAGAGAAAACGTCAGTATATTTATAGTTTTTACATAAGAAGATTCCAGAGTATTCTCCAGCTATCGACTAGTGCTGATGGGATAAGAATTAGTCAATCAGCGTGCACCAAAGCAATCATGCATTGAGCATGCTTTAATCCGGTCTATGTCCCGCTAACAACCTTGTTTTCTAAATCAGAAAACAGTACGTACTTTCATGTTTTTTTTAATGATATACATAAACTGATCGTCATGAGGTGATCGGTTTAACGACTGGAGGCCACAATACAAACACATTAGGGATATCATCAATGAGATCTGATAAGATAATCTTATGCTTATTTTCTTATTTTGTTGATGGTAAGTATTGAACTCCCGAAAGTTCTTTTTACTAACCAGTTTTACTTACATAACCGTATTGATTATCGATGTAAACAATTATGATAGCATTTGACAAACAATTTCCTTTCCTTGACGATTCACCGTTGTATTTATTAATAGGCAACTATGTTCATTTCAAATAACACATGATTTAGATATTTAACTACCAACCTATCCTCCCTCCTTCTTGGTTAAGTTTTATTGATCATTATAACTAACTTGTGCAACTATCTCGATCACTTCATTCTTTTATCGAACTAGGTACGAGTTTAGACTCCTTGTTTCGCACTATTTGAGAAGTGTCAGATATATGCATATGCTTAAATTTTTTTCTTTTTCATCTAATTTTCAACCGATCATATCCTGTGATTATTTTCCATCTTATAAGACGTTTTATCGAGACCACGAACTAATCTAAATTAAATACATATTGAAAACTTGGAAGCACTAGATGGATATTTCATCGTACTATGAGACTCCTCAGTAGCGCGCACTCACAACTCGAAATCAAATACAGGATTTTCGGTCTTGTGCACAGACGCTTAATCTCTAGACCTGCGACTGAGCCGAAATCCAGTGGTGTACATGTTTAACTTGAGTCTTTTCGCGATACTGTGCGACTATCTATTGTCTTCGGTGGTTGACTCACATCCAACACGGTCGAACACCACCAACCGCCCCTTCGCACTAAAACTGAAGTTTTCCTCTCGAAGCTGGTCACTGGTGAACACATGATAATAGTGAATATGGGGTTATAGGGATTCTCGGTTGCAAGGTCGTGGATGAGCAGCACTGTTTGGGAGTCTCATAGTTCACAGCCCCATACTAACAATTACAAAACGTTGTTTGATTCTTTAATTATTTGAAAAACAAGTGGGGATTTTTGTAGTTGAAATATTTTTTGTATTGAGGATTTTTGATAAAAAAGACTAGGAAATATCCTGTCCCATACTGTCAAGATTAATAAAAGCGGTGATGTTAGTTTCAGTATAATCATTGTTTCTAAAGAAATTGTCTAAAAGTGTGCTTCGGTTCAAGTAATACCACTTCTACGACACACTAGTTGTACTTTAGGTTTATAGAAACTATGTGAATGAAATCTATATGCTATTGATTACTTCAGTTCGACCAGTCCGGTAGTGCCATTAGCTTCCACACAAAGTGTGGTTCAAAGTCGCTTACATGAACGCATAATAGATGAATCTGGATGTTTTCCTGCTCAATTACATATCTATTTTTTTTGGTCTGCAGATGAAAATCGACCGGCGGCTCTCACTAGTACTAGTAGTCCCATTACAACAACTGATTCATCACAAAGTATAATAGCTGCTGTTAAGCAAAGTCAATATGAAGGTCATACTTCTGCTTTGTTATTAGCATTTAGTCTTGGTTTAATTTGTTGTTTCATTGGTCTACTTATTGCTGAATGGAGACGTCGGCAAAAATTGCATTTATGGTCATCGCATCGTTCAAGACCAGAGCAAGCAATTGTTTTTGGTGATCGAACAAAAATATCCATGCCAAGATTAAAATCATCACGTCGATTAAAGAAAAATACGACTTATGACCAAGTGAATAAAACTATAACAGGTACAATAGATGAAGAAAAAGCTCTATTCAATGATTTAGTCCTTTAACTCATCATTGATCTTAAGAAATATATTATGGTACATTGCATCTATATTTAATTTCAGTTTTGAGTTTTTTAAGTTTTCATAATTGTCTAATATTTTATTGAACTCTGTACTCATTTAAATAAGCATTTAAGAAGTAATACGATCAATCGGTTTTATTTGTGAATTTCCTCATATATATATGTAAACTGTTTATTTCACTAAAGTCTGTCTTGCATTTATTTTGATTTGATATTACTTTTTAATTGATGTTCCGTGTAATATGCATTCCTACCAGACAATTTCGATGTTGTGATAATCACCAATGTTCTTTTGATATAATATTTTTACGTTTATTTGCATTGATTCATCTCTTTATTATCTAAATTTTATTACTATTAATATCAGTAGTAATTAACTTGTCAATTTGTTCAGTGTTATTCAACGTGAATTTCTTTTAATCGGTTTTGATTACGGTAAAATATATTCTAAGAATTCTTTGTCTCGGTATTATTTCTATTATTCATCTTGTTGTTGTAATTCAGTAAGACACATTGGAGGAGTACAAATTTGCACCAAGCCCTATATTGATTGTGACTGACCCTGCAATCTCGGTGTGACACACATGTAATGCAATCATGTGAAGTACCATACATGTTTTTTCAAAACACGATATCCCGTTGCCTGACGATGTACATTTAGCACTTAAAATCCATACGACAGATTTATAATTGTCAGATGGCGTGAATGGCTAACTAGCTAATTTGGTTAGTATGCTCTTAAATTGGAAAACTAAAAATATATTGAGATGGGTTACAAGTGGGCTATTTGCACGAGTCCGAACGCGTTTATGCTCCTGGGCAATATGTTAATTGATACTTTATTATTTCTTGATAGGTTAGTGTTTAAATTAGCGATAACACTTGAAGGTACCTAGCACTCACTCATTTTATCGAGTCGTTGCCATTTGCTTACAATTATTTAACTTAATGGATAGTAGCCTACCTTCGTTAATCGACAAAAAGAAACTTTTCGGTAAACAATGCTGGTTAGTCGCTCTTAGAACATGAATCAAGCTCCTGACATGGTCTAGTGGTCAAATGCGAGAGAAAAAGTAGGCACATGTACTTTTTTGCTGTTTTTATCCATTGTACACCCATTTATGGTGTACGAAACACTGACCGATTTCTGTAATATCTAGGATATGCTAACAACTAACTCTCACCAGAATCTCAAATTACATCATTCCATACAGTTCCATCTGATCTTCATGTTTATCAATTGATAAGATATATCAAATACAACAATTAATACTACAAGATGTCTTTTGGCGATTAAATCAAATTTCCACACCTTAGATTAGGACATTTAATATCTTTCTACATAGGTGATGATCAATCGATGTAATCTAAGCTCTCTATCATCTGATTAACCATACGAAATCTACTACTTAACCTGGTCTTTTCTTACCAATCATGCGTCAAATATCTTATAATCAATTAAATTGAATGAACTACACCATGCACTGTTCTAGTGTCAACAAATAAAATTCAGTAAATTCCCTTTGATATCAGAACTAAATTTGTTTGACGCTATACATTACTGTAACAGACAATTTTATTTAAAATACATAAATGCAGTGTACTGATGTTTGGAAAAAGTTACAAGATAATCTTTATATAAAACAAATTCTCCGGTGAAAAGATTAAACAATACAAGTATAATGTAATAAAGTTGGATATCTCTATTTAATTCGGTACAAAATACGCCTTTGCATTCTATACTGTACTTCACCTCGACGAATCATGTAGTGTAAAACCTTGGTCACAGCGCGTTCTGAAAAACCCTGCAAATCACACGAATAATAAGAAAAGTTAGTAAGTTTGACATGTAATGTAAATTGTACAATAGAAAACCTGGTGCGAACTCAAATTTTAAATAACATGAACAGGAATAATTTAATAACAAGTGGAAATGAGGACGAATTTCGTCAGTCAGTCGATCAGACTTCATTTGACATTTTGTAAGTTGAACAAATCCCAAAACCATCTGGATATTAAATGTGTTGATAATATCGCTAAGTATTCCTCACAATCCTTAGAATCCACGGCTAGAGCTCTATATACTGTAAGTAAAGGTAGGTGACAGTAATGTAAACTGATCGATGTTTTTTCTCTTCTTCTTTTCGGGGATAATGGTAAAAAAAGTCGTCGATCTTTGGGAAACTACTAAACTGGCTAGAGGAAATCTGAAGGAAAATCTGTAGATCCTAAATATTATGAATGACAATGGATATCAAGATTTTAATCGAAAACTAACATAATCCATTTAACTTTTATAGGATTGAGAAACATTTACATTAAAACAAATTATTTTGATGATATGAACTAAAATAATGAAACACTGGAATATTACATACTTGACGTGTAAAGTCTTGTATGATAGCATATTCTGATACTTGACTGCCAATAACAAATCGCTTTTTCAACTGCTTTTCTAAACGCAGAATAAGTTCATGTTCCTCTTGTGTGGTAAAACCTTCCGCACCTTCTAAGCTTCCAGACATAGCGGCTTCCAATGTTGAAACATGAAATAGACGTAATGCTTCCTCAACATCTGTTTCAGTTGCAAAAGCGGCTAAACGCATTTTTGCTAATGACTCAGAAATTCGTATAATTGCTTCAAGTTGGCTGTAAAAAGGTAAATTATTGACCATATGTAGGGTGAATGCATTAAGGTTAATTAAAAGAAATGGATGTAACATTTGAACCAAATTGGTTATAACTTCAGTCAGTAACGACGTGGAACTTCGTATGCACGTACATCAGTTGGAGTTGCCATACCACATTAGCGCAGAGATGCAGTTGTTGATTCAAATCCAGTAGTGGTAGAGGTAGTAAGATTATAAACAGTAATCATCAATCGATTTTCCATCATTGCCTAGTACCCGTATCCTAACAACTGCATTACTTACTCGGTGCTCTCAGGATATACCAGTGATGCCTCTAAGACACCTATGGTCGGATATTAGTAGCCTATGAATATCCTCTACTTTTTCCGGCCATGTTTCACTGCCATAAAGTAGGACGGAACGAACTGCTGCGCAGTAAACACGTCCTTTGTTTGATAGACGGATATCTCGTCTACACCGTAAATGACGCAAGTTGGCAAAAGCTATTCGAGCCTTTTGTATCCGTGCTGAGATTTCGTCACACACCAGACCACAAGGGTTGATGAGACTTCCAAGATAAGTGAAGCGGTCGATACACCCAACTACTTCACTCCCTATCATTAGTTCGAGTGTCGATGCAACTCAATCCTGATGCAACATTTTGCATTTCGAGGGGGAGAATCGTATCTCGAACATGCTTCCATTGTTGCTTAGAGTGGTCAGAAGACTGCATTTTTTCAGCGTCTTCACCAAATAGAACTATGTCATTGGCAGAATTCTAGGTCAAAAAGTAAATCTCCTGGTAAAAGTTCAACCCCCTGGAAATGTAGATGAGGAAAGTGTTATCCCTAAAAGCACGTCTACGATAAAGTTAAATAAGAATGGAGAGAGTGAACAGCCCTGACGAACACCACTCGAGGTAATCAATTCTGATGACAGTTCGCCATAAGCTCTCACTCGACCAGTTGTGTTTGAGTAGAGAGCATTTATAGGGTTAATGTACTTCTTTGGTACTCCTTTCAGTGACAAACACTGCCATAGAACCTTACGATCGACAGATTCAAATACCGCCTTAAGGTCGAGAAATACTACGAATGTGTGTCTATGTTCTATGACCTGATGTAGTGTGAGTATCTGGTCTATACAACCACGTCCAGGTCGAAAACCAGCCTGGTTCTCTCAAGTCTGCTCTTCACGAGCTTTAGTTAGGCGTTGAAGTATTATTTAAGCTAATATTTTAGACACTATATTAGTCAAACTGATTCTCCTGTGGTTGTCACAAGAGGAATTTTGTCCTTTCTTATAGACTGGCAGAATCAGTGATTGTGACCAGTCAGATGGGATTACGTCCAGTTCCCAAATTCTACCTAAGACCTCAGTCAATCTCATTGCTAATACTGGACCATCATCCTTAAAAATCTCAGGGACAAACTTGTCAGGGCCTGCTGCTCTCTCACGCTTCAGACTTCCTATAGCTTCCACAACTTAATTCACTACATTATCGTTGTTCATTAAGACAATTGTGCGGTAAATATTCGGAATACCGTTTAACGTAATTAGGACTAACATAATTATATGGTCTGAATCAGACACCTGAATACTCACCGTACTGTTATAGGGATGGCACATCGTTTACCCGTTTCTTGTTCGTACCGTGTAGAACCAGATCTCATGAGGACATACTGATTCGATAATTTTTCAGCAGCCTGTTCAGATAAACGAGGACCACAGCGCTCACGTGCGAAGGCAATAAAACGTCGGAGAGTACTAAGTGGAATTTCATCCGATGACCCGGTATCCATTGCATTTATTCCAGCAGGATCACTGTAATAGATGAAGTTGAATAACAGACCATCAATCACACTTGAGTTATAACAATTTCAAATCTACTGCCTATCAGAATATTCCAAAAATTATATATTAGTAAATGCAGGGAGATGAATGAACAAGTTTTAAAGGGTTTAGACAAAGAGCAGATTGGTATTTACCTCAGTAGTTTCAACACACGTGAACTATGCTGGAGTAGAGATATGGTCAGAAACCTATAATTTACTCTAAGAACAATTATAATCTGATAGAGAGACGTACGGACTACATGTAATGCTATTTTTATTTGTGTCAAAACTCTGTTAACGACCAACTCATCATATTATGCGACAGAAAAACTAACAATTTAAAATGAGTGATAAACGCTAACTTTTAATGTTATTAGATGCAGGAGTAATTATATTTGATGTTCTATGTACAATTACCAACTGATCCTATTTACTGTGTTTAAGTTTTTATACGTTCAGTTGGAAGTTTTATCACATTTCACCTAATCATTCGTATTTAATAAATAGCCTAATATTTATAAGTTATTCAATTAATAACACAATTTTCTATTTCCAAATGCATTTAAGAACCGCAATATGATTGATTTTTCTAACCTATTCACTATTGTGATCTAGATAATGATTTTTGACAAACTGATTCTGAAGAGTTTTTTTCCTATAGTTTATGCATGGCGTAACTTGCTTATTTTTATTGATTTAAGTGGTCATACGAGTCTGATACTAAAATCCACACTTCCTATGCTTGAGATCGGTCTATTACTTGACTAATAAAACCTAAAAGTACGAAGCTTTTTTGGCGAACCGGAATCAAATATATGCACAAATTCAATCATTAATGTAGATATGTATACCATGTAAAATTGAACAAGATTTTCCAACCAGTAGGGTATACTATTTCCTTGGTAAAAGAAAGCTAAATCTTGAATAGTAGAATGCATCTGTCAGTATTTCACGTCATTCGGCTTTGAAATGATATATGTGATTGGCCCAACCTATTG